CTAGTAAAGCATTGGTTTCTCTACAGCAACTTGCTAAAGTACTGCAGCTGGCTCTACAGACAAAGAAGAAGGTACATAAGGACTATGCTTTGTCCTTCACTAATAGTTGCTCTAACTGTGTAGTCTATGCTTTATCTGTTCTTCGCATTGAGTACATTCTTAGGAATTTCTGAATGTTCATGAGGATGTGTTCTCATGCTACGATTGATTTTTTATGTCCACATGCAGGAAGCAGTCAAGAAAATATGCAGTTGGCAGTTTGCTAATTGCATTGATCTCTGGGTTGAATTTGTATCATCAAACATTCGTGATTATGACCTCCAGCCTCTGCTTTATATAATCATTCAGATTGTAAATGGGGTGGCTCGTCTTTTTCTGGGATCAAGATATTTACCCTTGAGAATTAAGTGCATTCAGTGGTTGAATCATCTCTCTCGTTCTAGTGAGATTTTCGTTCCTGTTGCATCATTTGCATTGGACATTTTGGAATACAAGGTTGGCAAGGTGGGCGGAAAGCCTGGAAAGGACTTCAACTTTTCGACTTCTGTTAAAGTAAGGGAATTACAAAATTGTGTTTTGTGTTGGTAGTTCTATGATAATTTCTGTGGTTTAAAAGACATGGTTTTCACAAGATATAGTATTCAAGTTTTTGAGATAATGTAGATCTTAAGACTGCAAATAGTTGGGTACAGTATATGCTGAATCTTTGGAGCTCATAAAGAAGCGGTAACCAATACATTATCTTCTTTTCTCTACAGTTGCCAAAGCATTGGTTAAAATCTCAAAACTTCCAAGAACAGTGTGTTTCTTCAGCCATTGAGTTACTCTGCACGCACTTTGATCAGTGGAGCTATCACATATCCTTTCCTGAGCTGGCTACCGTACCACTCATCCGTCTGAGGAAGTTCTATGAGACAACAACAAATGAGAGTTTCCGCCGTGTGTTAAAACGTTGTATTGATCAGGTATGTATTATAAAAAAGAGAAGACAATGTCACATCTCTTAACCTGTAGACGACAATTATACTTGTTTTGTTTCTCATTTTAGTTGGAAGGTAATGCACTTTACAAATCATTTTTTACTTCAAATGCCAAGATCTGATTTAGGATTCAAACATTTATTACTAGGAGTCTATTTTTATGAAATGTGTGAAAAATGTTAGCTACATATATGAGTTTCTGTCAAGCTCTCTCAGTTCAAATGTTGGCTTTGCCGGATCCCACTGATACAACTCCTTTGTCCAAATGATTTAAGGGGTTATCACTATGAACCTCTCACTTGATATGGTGTTACTGAAGTCCTTTCCTATTGGCTGCTATTGATCAAGTGTTGTGCCATTAAAACGCCAAAGTAGGGTCAAAAGCAGTCTTGTTTCTTTATATGAATGCATAAAGCCACCTGCTGCCTTGGCCTACAGGTGGAGCTGAATGTTGAGTTTGTGCGAAAGAAAAGAGATGAGGTGCCTTTTTCACCCAAAGATCAACAGTCTGTTGAATCGTTTCTTCAGGTTTGCTTCCCTGAAACTAAAACTTGTGGTCTCTAGTGAAGGCATTTCCTTGGCAACTTAGTCTGCCAATTTACTGCAGCTGGAGAAGAGAAGCGGAAATGCTTCTTTTAAACAGTACTATGGAAGCGTCATACAAAAGGCAGTCTCACAAAATTTGTTTACCAGTAAAAAGTTTAGGTACTTTTTCTCTCGACTGTTTTACTATCTCTTTATAGCTTTTTTCCTCCTATGGAATGAACAAAATACTGAAATTATCATACTTATGGAATTAGTCAGTTTAGATATTGTGGATTAGAGTTGGGATTTGCCTAGTAATTGCGAGTAGAGTTTTTTATTTAGTTAAATATGTAATTTTTCTTTCGCTTGGCTAATATGCTGCTGAATAGATGAGTAGATATTGGCTTGTCTTTCCAATTATTTACGTCACTTATATCAGTTGTCTTCATACTGGAGATCCATGGTTGTCCTGCTCTCAGGTTCTACGGTAATTTCAAGTAGCCTTATGAAGATTGAGACTACATGGAATACTCTCATTTCATCATGGATTCTGATTGGCCAAAAAAGTACAGCAAAATTTGATTTTGGCAAAGTTTAGAGAGTTGAAATAACTATAAATTGTAAACCTGTGATCAGTCAAGTGATGAAAGTAAAACACCATTTATTTGAGATTCTAGAAAGTTCATTTTTCTAGAGTTCAGTTATTATTCATGTGGAGTTCTTCTAAATTAATACTTTACTATCGAAGAGTTTTAACGTTGGCCTATTGGTGGTCCACCTTACCTATATTCAAGACCTTTGATTGCTTTGTTTCGCTCCTCATGGGTCAGAAACAACAATAACTGTGTTGTGTCCACTGGTTTTGTCTTCTCTGAAAAAACCCCTTCCTAATACCCAAGAAGAAGTGTTAATTTTTCGATGTAATGTCATTGGCTATCCCTGTATTTTTGCCCGAAAATAAAAAGTTTTCGTCACTCAGTTGAATTTTCTCTCATGTCCGTCAGTTTTTGTTGACATAGACAATCGGATTGCGGAGTTAGACACTGGAGTACACGTGTTGTTTTATGATTTATTAAATTTTGTATGTGGCGCCACATCAGACAGCATAACAGTTAATGAAAAAACAAAATGGAGAGGTAGGAGCATGGGCTCATGGCCCTGGCCGTTTGATCTGGAGCTCCCGGCCATGGCTGCTTGAGGAGAAGGGAAGGGGGGGGGATGGGTTGGCATAATCTGTCACCGGACGGGCAAAAGTACAGGGATTACCGGTGGCAGTGTCCTTGATTTGCTAAATTAGTTGATACTTTATTCTTCCTAGGAATAAACTCCATCTCCATATCTGTTTATGTAGTTAATTATTATCATTGCAGCGAATCCTTATGTGTACTAGTGAGTTTCTTATAGTATGAGCACGTATTTTTCATAGCAGAGATGAGGTTTTAGTGCCATCAAAAGAATCCAGTAAAATGTATATTGTGGTTGTTGTATTTGGCACCCTACTACGTGCTTTCATTATTCCTCTGTCCTCTATTTTATCTAGCTTCCGAAGTGTTCAAAAGAATTTCTTTTGAACATTTGACCTTAATCTGTTCAGTCATCGGACTGGATACATCTAACAGAAGCTTATGGTTGTCCTCTTACGCATATGTTCCCATTTTTTAAAGTGTAATAGGTGAATTTATATACGTGCAGTTTGGAAGAGCATAAAAACTCAACTAGGAAGAAGGGACGGCTTATCACCCATATGGAGGTTGCAAGGCCTAATGGCCAAGAAAATGGTGTAAGAAATGGAAATATGGAGAAGAGAAGGAAGAAGAGAAGAAAGACTTTGAAGAGTGCTACTTTATCTCAATGACTGATCAAGAAGTACTGGCGCTCGGTGCTCAATGCTCGGTGTAATTTTTGTCTTAGTATTTTTATTCTAATTAATGAAATTTTATGTAAATTTTTTATATATCCCCCCCTCCCTCCCGAGTTAGGTCACCATCCCTAATCAAAGTTTCTGTCTGCCACTGCAGTAGCTCCTGAATTCTAAAATTTTGACATATGGTAAAAAAAAAAAGTGAGGCTAGGAGATTGTATAATTCTTTGCGGAAGTGATAATTATGACAAGAGTTGCATATCTTTTTGTCAATAGGCTGGAGTGATGCTGGGATTGTTCGTTGTTGGAGATTAGCTCTCGCAATAATGTCACTCGAATTCCTCTTTTCTAGAAGATATCACGACTTGTTTGTGAGATGTTTCCTCTGTTGCGACAGTGTGTTCTTATTTCATTGACAAGCTATATCAGGATTGTCAGTACTCTTACAGATTGTTACGTATCTTGATCATTACATCGATATAACAAAATGTGAATGATTAAGAACTTGTGATTATGAATTCTTGGATAGTAGTTTGTCATTGAAGTACTTGCGGAGAATTTGCCCAAAGAAACCCTGTTATGTGGTTTCCGGCGAGGCGAGACACAGGAGACGAAGATCAGTTGAATTCTTTCTTTGGACATCACGCGGTCTAATGTCCAGGGCCTTTTTGCTGTTATAATTCAAGTCACGAAATAACTCCGCAGTTTCTGATTTTTGACTAGTCAGTGATGACTCAACTTGCTCTGCGACCAAGTAAAAAACAAAAAAAAAAAAAAACTTGCTCTGCGACCACAACTGATCCTGCCGCAAGTCTTTATTGGTCAGGAATGTATTTTTCTCCTATGAAGACAAAGTTGGGCTCTATTTTCAAATTTCTCTCGGAAGATTCCCATCAATTGACGATCGAGCGTGTTCATTTTGAAGCAAACTAATGTTGGACGTCTCGGATAGAAGAAACCGGAAAATGATCTCTCTGTATGTCACTTCTTTATGTTTCTCGAATCGGAACGTTCAAATTGTACTTTCTTCTCATTAATCCAAGGCAAGGGAAATACGGAATGGAGATGGGGGAAAAAATCAACACCATAAACCTAAAAAATGAAAATTTTCCATAAGTCAATAGCTCGTGATACTCCAAATTTAATTTGGATTGACCTACAACTACGCGTTCACAAGAGCTATACAATCACGAAGGTCCTCCGCTCAAATGCTTCTTGTTTTTTTTCCTCAACCAATTTGTCAAATTTAACACGGTTCTTCCAACTGAGAAAAGCTTGGAACGCTCAGATCAATAGCATGCTATCGTTCTACGTCAAAGAAGAAGCAATAAGACAAGTCAAGAGTTTTACCTCACGGATTCTCATGCCTAACAACATCGGAAACAAGATTTTGGCTCGAGTTTTGCTAACCACTGTCCGTCGTGCCTAGGACACAAGATATGTATATCCAGGAAAAATTCTGAATCCACAGCATCAATCCTAAGTAAAAATCAAAGCATGCTCCGAGCGAAAATACACCCAAACCAATCGGTCTGGGAGCAGATATACTCCGTCCTCTTACATACACGCTATATCGTGAAGTTCTATCTATGCAAACGTCGTCTCATACATCCGTAGCAGGTGACACCGTGATATCATGAGCGCGGTGCTGAGACGATCGAGGTTTTCACCATGGAATTTGGATGGTAACTTTTGCAACTTATTGCCCTCATCACCCCCCAAAGCCCCTTCTCATCTTTATTCGCATCACTGACCTCAACAATGTCCCTCCCGTTAGAGGGCCGATGCAACCTGGAAGGACTTGTCTTGTGTTTCTTCCTGGTGTCTCTCAGCTCCATCTCCATAGGAAATTTCGACAACCCGTACATTATGAAGTAGCTTTTGGACTTAGGAGATGGGTAGGCCACTACCGTTGCTTTGTAACCAGATGACAATTTCCTATTTGCATAACCATATTTCTCAAATGGCGGGACTTTTGAACCTCTCGCCCTTTGTGGGCTTGGGGAATGGACTGTGTGAGTCATGCTTTGTCGATCCTTTAGACCCTCTGAGATGGTTCTTGATCTTGAGGAGGGGGAGCTTGGTTTGTTGTGCTTTGAAGCCTGCCCTTCTGTTGGAATTTCATAGACTCGTGATGATGGTTCCTCGCAAGAAATGAGCTTTCCACAGAAGATGATGTTGCTTGCAGGTTGAGCCGGAAGGGCGACGTTTTGATTCATGAACTCAAACAAGTCCTCTTCACCATCATCCTCATCAGAAGAAGAAGAAGAGGAGGAGGTTTGACTCTCTGTGCTGTTGAAGTCATCCAAATGAGCAGCTTCGTGACTGTGTAGAGGGAGATCTGAGAGGGAGAGCGTTTCTTCTGCTTCAAACGAATCCTCTGCATCGTACTGGCCAAAATCTGCTTCTGGGTATTGGTGAAATTCGTTGGCTGCCATTGATGAGGATCAAGAAGTTGATGGTGCCAATAGAATGAGAAAGTGGTGTTTAAGTGATAGGAGGAGGAAAAAGAGAGAATCAAGATCGGCTAATAGGAGATCATGCAAAAATGGGCATCTCCGTTCTTCTAAAAAGTGGCTCCAAGAGGTGCTTATATACTGGTCAAGGTTGAGGGACAGATGTCGCGGCTGGTGGGGTTGATGGTAAAATTATTCTTAGAAATGAATCGCCATGCAGAACAATATACACATTTATATTTGGTGAGTGACCAATATTAAAATAGAAATAGCCTATTATATCAACATGAAAAAGGACAATCTTTAGGTTTGGTTCATGGGTGGGTTGTTGGAGGAAGGCTTTCTAGATGAACAGATTAATATAATTCAAGTCACATATGCATGAAAGAAGTGGGATCGAGAGAGACATTAATTGCATGGGGAGGTATGCCCTTTCTGCTGGCTCTTCTAGAAGAGCGAGATAGGACCAGGCAAAATTTATCTAATTTCCCTTCTCATTTGACAAGTGTTTCTGTTCCAGATGACTACTGCAATTTGAATATTCTTCTTTTCCCCTTCTTCTTGATGACAGTTTGATTCGCATTGTTAAAGCCAAGATGCGTGTGATGAACAGATTCTTTTAGATATCGACCCCCATCTTCCCGTGGGGGGGCTCAACAGATATTGTCTTCTTCCCGTTTAACTTCTATATTGGAAGCATCGAAATGAGTATTTTTTGGAAAGAGTTGGAGGGGAAGGATGTGTGAAAAGAAAGCCTACCATTTCGCAAAAAATTCCTGAACGACATGGTTTTTTGTCTGAATGGGTAAATGGGTGTTGTCATGAAATGATCCAAGGGCCTAACACGACGAATTTGATGCTCTGGCGTATCCCTACTTGTATGCGAGATACAATAAGATATAGAGCTAACATTGCATGTTTTCATTTTTTGGCACAGTTGCATATTCGATCAGTGACGCATAGGAGTTGATTCATGTCATATTCTGAGTTTGATTATCGCACTTGAAGCGATCCACAAAAATCCACATGAAGAACGTGATCGAGCACGGCTGCTCGTCTATGTAGCTACACAATATATGAGGGAAAAGTGCCAAAAAAGTCCTAAACCTTTTGCATTAGTGCCAATTTAGTCATAAACATTTTTTTGGTGCCAATTCAGTCCTAAATCTTTTGCATTGGTGCCAATTTAGTCCTAAACCTTTTTTTGGTGCCAATTCAGTCCTAAACCTTTTAAATTGGTACCAATTCAGTCCTAAACCTTTCGTTTTTGTGCTAATTTAGTCCTTCCGGTCAATTTTGATCGGAATTTGCCGACGTGGACAACTTTAATAATATTTTTATTTTTTTTGAATTTTTATTTTTTTTCCACTTTTTTCTTTTTGGTCTCTCCCTCCTTCCTCTAGCCGGTCGCCGGTCCGGCGACCGGCCAGAGGCCAGAGGCCGGCGAGGGCTTGCCCGGCGAGGGCGAGCCTCGCCTTGGTCGGGTGAGCCTCGCCCAACGACCTCACCAGATCCGGCGAGGCCCGACCTCGCCGGCCTCTGGCCTCTAGCCGGTCGCTGGACCAGCGACCGGCCAGAGGAAGGAGGGAGAGACCAAAAAAAAAAAAAAAAAAAAGGAAAAAAAAGGAAAAAAAATAAAAATTCAAAAAAATATTAAAATATTATTAAAGTTGTCCACGTCGGCGCCGGTGACCGGCCGTCGGCCGGCAGGTATCCACGTCGGCAAATTCCGATCAAAATTGATTAGAAGGACTAAATTGGCACAAAAACGAAAGGTTTAGGACTGAATTGGCACTAAAAAAAGGTTTAGGACTAAATTGGCACCAATGCAAAAGGTTTAGGACTGAATTGGCATCAAAAAAAGGTTTAGGACTAAATTGGCACTAATGTAAAAGGTATAGTACTTTTTTGGCACTTTTCCCCGATATATGATAAAGTTGACTCCTGTATTGGTGAACCATGAACTTTCTCTTTAGAAAGTGTATAAAAGAAGGAAATCCCAGCAATTACAGCAAATTTGTTCTTGTTCGGCAAGTCTGGTATTCTGGTAAATAACACACTTACTTCGAAATTATAAACTTTCTTATAATGCATCTGGAAAAAAATTGTGAGGAGGAGAAGTTCTTTCTTTCTTTTCCTTTAAGAAAGGAGAAAATTATATTATACGGACGCGGTATACAGTACAAAAGTCTTCAAATGTAAATTTTAGGAAATATCCACTAGAGAAAGAGGTTCTCTTTTCAGAAATCAAAGTCGAATTCCAATTTTGGGGATTAAATGGTAAGCGCGTTCGACTATTTCTTGCTCGAAACAAAGGCTTGGATCACCACACTTCTTATATTTTGGTCACATGCGATGGACGGGTACTACCAAAAATTCAGTTTGCTCGCAAAATTTCAAACCTCATTGTTATAGGTATAACTTTTTCTTTCAACTATTGGCTATTGAAGTATAGGAATATCACTTATCAGAGTCGGCGTTGTTTTATTACAGAGTATAAAAATACATGATTTGGAGAAGCAGATCATCATTTGTTTTGATACGAGATATCCGAACCTTCCTACTAGATTCATCCGCGTAGATGCATGCAAATCGTCAATGTTCATTTCCATCGGAGATAAGACTTCTATCCCACGCACGACGTGGCAGATCTGGCGTCTGAAATTTCTCGTAGGCAACACATCGTGATTTGAAATATCCGATTAGTCATATGTGTATAGGACAAATTATTTTCTAATGGGTATTATGCGGGTGTCTTTTTCCTCTTTGATATTTGTTCATGTCATTGACCATATGTAGTCACTGCTTATGCAATGTAAAGCCGTGTGCGATAGTGAGACGTCCCCGTGAACTTAGACTAGTGACGCAAGGCAAACTTTTCCAATACTTACAAATCACAATCTATAAATATATATTTATATTTTTTGGAAAATCGACATAGGTAAATCTCACTCTAATTTATTGCAAAGGGAGAAAGTTCAAACAAGGACATTTGTTTCCACTGACAGCATTCATTATCTTGCCAATTGACCAGTTGGAAAAAACATGGAAAGAACATTAGAAGAGCCAAAACTTACATACGACGCTTATTTTAGTGCTAAAAATTTTCGCCGGATCATTTAAATGCTAAACTTTTTGAAAAATGATCACTTAAGTGCCAACTCCGGTCCAGAAATCCGACATGGCATTTTTTTATTAATTATTTAAGTCGATGTGGCTCGCCGGAGGTTTAGTCAACATGTACACTTCGAAACAACGTAGTTTAGCATGTACACTTCAATTTTGTAAATATTTTTCTGATTTTTTTCTTTTCTTTCTTCTTCTTCTACCTTTGGCCGGTGACCGAACACCGGTCACTGGCCACAGCCAGCTGCCTGGCCTCGCACAAACGAGGCTGCCGTCGCTCGCCACAGGCGAGGCCTAGCTGACCCTTGCCGGGTGAGGGCGGGTGAGCCCCAGCGAGGGCTCCCCTCGCCGGATTTGACGAGGGGAACCCTCGCCGGGGCTCGCCCCTGCCCAAGTGAGGGTCGGCCTTCGGCCCTGGCCTGTGGCTTTCGAGGGCGAGGGTCGCCTTGCCCAGATCTGGCGAGGCGACGCCAACCCTCGCCTGGGCGAGGGTGGGCGAGCCTCGACGAGGGCTCCCCTCGCCAGATCCGACGAGGCCAGCCCTCACCCAGGCCACGGCAGCCTTGCCGAGCATCGCCCAGGGGTTGGGCCTAACTTGTGGCGAGCGACGGCGGACTCGTCCAGGCCAGGCCAAGCGGCCGGCCATGGCCGGTGGCCGGTGTCCAGTCACCGGTCAAAGATAGAAGAAAAAGAAAGAAAAGAAGGAAAAAAATCAGCAAAAATATTTAAAAAAAATCGAAATATACACGTGGAAATGCCACATAGATTGATTTTTTTAAGGGAAAAGACCACCAAAAATCCCAAACTATGCCACCTGTGACACATTTACCCTGAACTTTTTTTTGTGACACAAAAAACCCCAAACTATGCTATTTGTGACACATTTACCCCAATGTACTTTAGTCCATGGGCATTTTTGTCTTTTTTGCTTTTTCTTTTTTTTTCTCCTTTCCGGCAAGGGTGGCCCTCGCCGGCGTCGGGCGAGGGCGACCCTCGCCGACGTCGGGCGAGGGTCGCCTCGCCTGGGCGAGCGAGGGCGGCCCTCGCCCTCGCCCGACGCCGGCGAGGGTGACCCTCGCCGGAAAGGAAAAAAAAAAAGAAAAAGTAAAAAAGACGAAAATGCCCATGGACTAAAGTACATTGGGGTAAATGTGTCACAAATAGCATAGTTTAGGGTTTTTGATGTTACAAAAAAAAAGTTTAGGGTAAATGTGTCACAGGTGGCATAGTTTGGGGTTTTTTGTGATCTTTTCCCTTTTTTTAAAAAAAAACCAAACTCAGATAAAAAATTTTATTATAAAAGCCACGTATTAAGTTGATCGGAATTTCTCGCTGTTGGCACTTAACTGATCGTTTTTTCTCCGATTTGGCATTTAAGTGATCCAGTGAAAACTTTTGGCACTAAAGTGAGCACCGTAGACGAATTTTGGCACTTCTAGTGTTCTTCCCCCGAAAAAACATCTAAAGCCAATTTTTTCAAGTAAATGCTATTCTTTCTATGGTTTTAGACAACACACTCACGTCTCTCGCGTACTATATTGAATTATGAATGGAAACCTGGCTCTAATTTATGTAAAAATATAGGTTTCCTGGTACGTACTTCATCAATATTATTTCCGATAATATGTACGTTTAACATGAGAATAGACGTATACCAATTATCGTACTACAAACCCATGTTCATGTTAAAATACGCGCATATATGTGTGTCAGAGAGACTGCACGCAAACGGACGACTTTTATATGCTTTTTCGCTTGTACTTTACCAAAAGGAAAACACCACCAAAAATTCCAAACTATGTCACTTGTGACAAATTTACCCTGAGCTTTTTTTTGCAACACGAAAAACCCCGAACTATACTACTTGTGACACATTTACCCCACAATACTTTTCCCAATGACATTTTCGTCTTTTTTCTTTTTCTATTTTTTTCCTTTTTTTTTTCCTTCTTCTCTTTTCCCTCCGTCGGCCATGGCGGAGGGAAGCTAGCGAGGGCAGCCCTCGCTCGCCCAGGTGAGGGTCGCCCTCGCTTGACGCCGGCGAGGGCAGCCCTCCCCGGCGTCGGGCGAGGGCAATCGGCGAGGGTCGCCCTCACCGGCTTCCCTCCGCGGAGGGAAAATAGAAGACAGAAAAAAAAGGAAAAAAAAAACAGAAAAAGGAAAAGGACGAAAATGCCCTTGGGAAAAGTATTGTGGGGTAAATGTGTCACAAGTGACATAGTTTAGATTTTTCGTGTCGCAAAAAAAAGTTCAGGGTAAATTTGTCACAAGTGATATAGTTTGGGATTTTTGGTGGCATTTTCTCATAATTTATGTAAAAATATAGGTTTCCTGGTACTTCATCTACAGGATAACAATATTATTTCCAATAATATATACATTTAACATGAGAATAGACATATACCAATTATCGTACTACAAACTTATGTTCATATTAAAATACGCGCATCTATAGATATGTGTGTGTGAGAGAGACTGCACACAAACGGACGACTTTTATATGCTTTTTCCCTTGTGCTTTACCAAAAGCGAAAAAAGGGTCAAGTAATGTGCTCATAGGCATGCTCACCGCCTTACCACTAAAAGGCTCAATTTTTCCTAAGTCCGGCCAAAAGCGATGATAAGGAAATGAAAAGAGTGCGGCTCGACCCCCATATGTATCTCCACCAGCTTTTTTACCAAAGGTAAGGTAGGCGAGAGATGATAAGGGGGCACGATCAGCACACTGTTGATGACACGAGCGGTCGTGATTTAAAGACGTGTTTTCCACTTTCTAGATTGGGGATATTTCACCTCCCCTCGAACCATGAACAAGTGTCCCTTGGACCCCTTTTCTTTCTCTTTGGTCTTGGACCCCACACTCATGTCTTTGAATTATGAATGGAATCCCGGCTTTAATTCATGTAAGGTAAATGGCATAAATCGTTCTTAAATTTTGACTCAATATGTAAGATGATCTCTTAACTTTAAATTTATTTAATGTGATCCCTAAACTTTTAATTTGTTTAGTGTTATTAAACATTTTTCATGCAATTCAAGGATTAAATTGAACATTTACCAAAAATTCATGGACCACATGTTCAGATATCACATTACACATTAGACAAAAGTTTAGGAACCATTTATATCATTATCTCATTTATGTAAATATATAGGATGTCATGGTGACACGGTTTCCCGATACTTCATCTTAAGGATAACAATACCATCTTCGACAGCATATACGTTTAACATACGTACTGTAAACCCATGTTCATATTTACATACACGCATCTATAGATATGTGTGTGTGTGTGTGTGTGTGTGTGTGTGTGTGAGAGAGAGAGAGAGAGAGAGAGAGAGAGAGAGAGAGAGAGAGAGCTATTTTTATATGCTTTCTCACTTGTACTTTACCGAAAGCTAAAAGGGTTGAATAATATGATCATTCATGGGCATGCTCACCGCCTTACCACTAATAGGCGCAATTTCCCTTGGTCCGGCCAAAAGCGATGATAAGGAAACGAAAAGAGTGCGACTCAACCCCCAAATCTCCACCAGATTTCGATAGATGATTCGCATTGGGGTCGGATCTTCTTCTAGAACAGCAGGCGATTCAAAGGGACACAATCAAACACACTATTGATGACACGAGCGGTCGTGATTGAAAGACGTGTTTTTTCCACTTTCTAGATTGGGGTTTCCACCTCCCCACGAACCACGAACAAGTGTCCCTTGGACCCCTTTTCTTTCTTTTTTTCAAATTGAGGTCTCCGTTATCTGGTTTTTTTTTTTAAAAGATCGATGGATCTCTTCTGTGTTTTGGAGGCTTCTCTTTGCCCTTTTGCTGGGGGCTGCGCTGCCGTGCTCCAAATGGCTCTCTCTGTCCATAAGATGCTGAGACCTCCATCCCATGGCGACCGAGAAAAGGGAGAAATGGGAAACCCCATCGTCAGCTTTTAGGTCAATAGTCCACAAAATCATGCCCGACTGTGGATGCTGTCCCTCCTCCATCTTTGTGGGGTTATCGTTTTCATGTAGGTTTTGCTTTGCAATGACATGATCGGAACTAATCAAGCACGGGGATGATCTCCACTATAATGTCGTGTAAGTCCGACCAACCTGATGAACATAGGATGATTGCCACAATCGTACACGTGTCACTAATGTAGGTGTTCCGAGTGATGTCTAGTCCCGCTTTTTTTCGGAATCTTTTGTCATCCCACGTGCCCCTAAAGTGCTGAGAAGTTTGTTGAATAGATTTAGGGTGCGTTTGTTTCACGGAAGACGTAACGTTTCTGAAAGAAAATTTCCGATAAATCATTTTTCGGGAAAATAGTTAGTTTTCATTTATTTGGTAATATGTAATCGAAAAAGTTTTCTAGTGTTTGGATCTCATTTGGAAAATGATTTCAAAATGCGTTTGTGTCGTCAACCCGTGCTTGTGGCTTGTCGCCGAGGCCGGCTAGCGGTGGAGGAAGGAAGAAGGAAAAAGAAAAGAAAAGAAAAGAAAAAATAGATGCAAGATGAATAATTTCGGAAAGTATTTTCACATTCTTAAATTAGGGAATTCACTTTCCTAATTTTATACATGAATATTTTCCTTAACCGGAAAGTGTTTTCGGTTGACTTATCATTTTCGGCGAGTTAAACGGGTAAAAGTCCAGAAAACAGATTCCCATAAAATACTTTTGCTCAAACCAACGCATCCTTAGTTCGATAGGTGGGTCTCGGGAAAAGGTACAAATTTCCACTATAACGAGCTGTGGCCACCGCAACGTTTTTTAGAAAGAGGGTAAAGCAATACTTTCGTCGCAATTTATTTGGATCGGGGGTCGAAAGGCAGGAGGAAAGGGCCGGAGATATTACGAAAATTCGAGGTAATGGAGCATTGTCTCCTCGCCGTAATTGGGCCGAAACAGTTGGGTTTAGAGCCCGCGCCGTTTCTTGAATACTCTTGTTTTTAAAAAATCGTGTTGCAAATGGAGTACGTAGGAGGGCATTTGGTCTAGTGGTATGATTCTCGCTTAGGGTGCGAGAGGTCCCGAGTTCAATTCTCGGAATGCCCCCCCCTTCTCCGTTCCTTTTTCTTCCCGCTCCTCCTCCTTCTTTCCTGTCTTTTTCTTTATGTTGTTTTGTTTCTTTCATTTTTATATATCATACTCTTCTAGATTTGCTAGTTTTCTTGGCAGAACGCGCAAACAAAGCGAACTCGTTGCAGCAGTTCTAGATGGTCTGTCTAGTCGGTCAATTTCCAACGCCTCCCTTTGCGAGTTCATCTAGAAGCCTCACTCCCTACGAAAACTCCACTCTCTCTCTCTCTCTCTCTTTCTAAAAGCACATCCTATGTTCCAGAAGCCGTCGCTTGACCGCCCCTTTATATACTTCTTCCGCTTCCCCTTCCCTCTTCACCCATCACCGACCCCAACAACAGCAAGCTCATTACCCAGCACGAGTACACCCGCCACCCTCCCACTTCTCCGTTTCCTCATCTCATCCATCCTCTTCTTCATCCATCCATGTCGGACACCCCTCTTCCCCGCGACTTCGACGACGCCGACGACGACGCCCTCTCCTTCTGCGACCTCCACTTCTCCCCCCTCCACCAGCCCGACCCCCCTCTGCCTCCGACTTCGCCGCTCCTGGAGGCATCGGACTTCGAGTTCTCCACCGCCGGCCCCACCATCTCCGCCGTCGACGCCTTCCTCTTCTGCGGCAAATCCATCCCCTTCGACGAGCGCGCGCGCCGCGTCGACTCCCTGCTGCTGCGCTCCGACTCGTTCGGCCGCCTCAACAGCTTCCGCCGAGACGGCGCGAAGGTCCGGTTCGCGAGCGGGCAGCTCCTCCGGTCCAACTCGCTCCGAGTGGCGCGGTCGAGGAGCTCCGTCGCCCCGGCTGCCGCCTCCGTCGTCGGGTCGTCTTCCTCGCGGAGGAGGCAGTACCGGGCTCTGATCGGGATCACCAAGTTCCCCGCCAGGATGGAGTTGAGCGACATAAGGAAGAGGCAGGGCCGGCGAGCTCCGGCGCCGCTTTTCCCGGCGGCCGAAGGCGAAAAGCAGGACTCCGCCGCCGGTGGGCGGAGCGGCGGCCACCGGAGTCTGCTCGGGCCGTCGCGGTGTCGGTCCCACTTCGTGAACGCGTTGGCGAAGGCTTCTCTGGGATGCATTCCGCACATGTGACCCCCCGTGGGGCTCGGTCATCGCGCGTGTGAGGATCGGTTGACTTTTTTTGTTTTTCTAATCCGGCGGGGAGAGTTTTGGGCCGTGCGATTTGGAGCAGTCGGATCGGATCATGGCCCGTGGGATTGATACCTTCTCTTAATATTATTATGTAAATTATTTATTTCGTGTAATTACACTACACCTTAAGTTTTTTCCATTCTATTTCGATGTAAATAAGTATGGAGTTCCTTAAATGATGACTATTAATATTGTAAACGACTGATATTTAAATAACACAATATGTCAATTTGAAAGGCATAAAATAATCTACCTCGCCAACCATCAACTGGGAGTGGAATCACTTGAGAAATTACCACACTATATAATACACATTTGGGACGTTAATTTAGTAGTGCACAAACTCAAAAATATATTGAGATTTGGAAAAGTTACTAACGTGTTTTTCAATAAATTTGTATAGAGTGTGCTAAAATTGAAACTCGTATCAACATGTTTTTAATTTTAAAGTCATCGACTGTTGTAATTTTGATATCATTCCAGCTATAGATTTCGAACATACAATCTAGGTTTTATACTAGATTGTTGAAATGATTTCTAATATATTTGGAACTCGTCACTCAACTGCCTTTGAAAAGTTTTTTATTGATGCATGTGTATATTTCCTATGAGAAGATGTATCGATCCTTTATATTTTAAAGGATCTTTTTATCGAGTGTTACCAGAAACTTACTAAGCAATCAACAAATGAAAACGTTATAATTTTTAATGGACCATCTATACTTGTAGATGATAAGTGCCATTAAAAAATTGAAAATTTTCCTATTACGGTATAATTAACAGGGCACTCATTACACAAAATGACCATATTTAAAATGCATAATCTACCCTTCTGACTTGTGTATAGTTACCGTTGGGAATTGACTATGGATATTATTGACTAAATCGAAATTGACCGTACAGATGGAAAGAGTTACCAACTATTAAAAGAAGCCACTGAGGTTGCTTTGCGTAGCTTTTGTTGATGCATATGTGGAATTAGCAACGAAATGCATAACCTAACTATCCATTTATCGTTTCAAAGACACGATATATCATGATTCACCTAGACTAAAAAAAACTGGATGGCCGAGATAATATCCCTACCTTAATGAGAACTTACCATCCCTCCAAAAAATGAGTTACTAATCAAGTTCTGAACAATATTCATTAATGTAAAAGCACCAACGCCATGAGAAATTTATTAATTAATAATCTGTCGTTGCTTATGACAAATAATTGCATAGATCATATAACTGTCGACATGTCGAAGCACCAAAGCAATAAGATCTGGAAAATAAAAAACTCAAAGAAAAAATAGAAGTCACATAAAAGGGTATTTTTAAGATTTCAAGAGGCATAATGCTTTTCTAATCTTTCATCATTACATTGAAATGCAACAAATCACACCTGAAATAGGCCCTACTAGAAAGAGAAAAAAAACAGCCCCCCAGTTTGAAAATTTCAAATCAGTACTTAAAGTGGGGTCATTTTCTCAAAAAAAGGTCCAAAGTGAATATAGTGCCAAATAAGGACATGAAGTGCTCAACCAGTCTCAAATAGGGACCCGAAGTGCCCAATTAGTCTCAAGTAAGGGCCTGGCCCGAAGTACCTAAAGTGGGGTCATTTTGTTTTGTTTCTTTTTTCCTTTTTTTGTTTTTTTCTTTTCCTTTTCTTCTTATTTATTTTTCCTCTTTTCCCTCCGCCGGCCATAGCCGGACCGGCGGAGGTTGCCCTCTCTGGCGTCGGGCGTCGGGCCACCCTCGCCGGCGTCAGGCCGCCCTCGCCCAACGCCGGCAAGGGCAACCTCCGCCTGAGGCTGGCAACCTCCGCCGGCCCCGGCTATGGCCGGTGGAGGGAAAAGAGGAAAACAAAAAAAGAAGAAGAAAAGGAAAAGGAAAAGGAAAAGAAAAAAAACAAAAAAAGGAAAAAAAGAAACAAAAAAAATTTTAAAAGTAAAAGACGAAATTGCCCTTGTTCCGATCGTTGGAACAGTGACGTGCTTGCCGGCCAGTGAGCATTTGACTGGCCGGCGAATCCAGGCCCTTACTTGAGACTAATTGGGTATTTCGGGCCCCTATTTGAAACTGATTTGGCACTTCATGCCTTTATTTGGCACTATGTCCACTTTGGATCCCTTTTTGAAAAAATGACTTCACTTTGGGTATTGATTTGAAATTTTCCCCCCCAATTTTGTCAATTTGGCTATCGCCAGAAAAATCTTTCGAGCCGTTTTTTACCGTCTCTTTGATGCCTTCTAAGGTAAAAATAGTTTATTCGATAAAAAAAAAGAGGTAAAAATAGTTTCGCTCTTTTTACCGGGATCTGGCATCGTAGTTTTACCAGAAAAAGAATAAGGAGAAGGAACAGTATCATTATTAGCGGGAGGGTTAACGGACTCACTGCTGCTGACAGTCTCTAAAACCCTGCAAACGCCGCACATTCTCTCTCCATTTTCCGGAGCAAAGCTCGTCTTCTTCAGGTAATCTCCTCTGCCCTCTCCTCCCTTCGATCTTCCTGTTCAGTCTCGATTCGTCTTCGCCGAATCGTCGAAACCGGACTGGAAGTAAAAAGCTACGGCCTTTCGATTCCGCCGGGGGAGCCTTCGTTCCTTGTTTGATCGCGCAGCCAAAGCTCGGACAGAGAGAAGGCGAGGCGAGGGGTGCTTATTCGGGCGCGCTTTAGGAGCTGCGAGCTTGAATTGAGGCCCCTGTCAATGGAGTTCTTGCTCGATTGCGCTTGCTTTTTTCCGTGCTGTATGAAGCTTTCGTGTGACCCGCGGTGCTTCGTGAATTGGGTCATCGTCCGTGTTCGCAGTGGACGCTAAAGTTCGCTTCTTTTGTTTTTACTTTTATGCGCCAGATGGAAGATGGTTTGATTCCATATATGGGGACGGTTAATTCCGGTTCCGATGTCGAAGCTTTTGAGCACAATCTGGATCAAATTCTGGTCAAGGTGAATGAGGTAAAATTGTATTCTTTTTTTTTTTTTTTTTGGTAAGGTGGTAAAATTGTATTCTTTGTTATCAAGTACCGCAAAGGTTTGCTTCTCATGATCTTTTTTTTTTTAATCATGTTTATATATGTATGCGCGGTTTTGTTGTATCAGGGGAAACTTCGATTTCGTTGTGCTAATTTGATCTTTTTACCCCCTTACAGTTGGAGAAAAGGGTTAACGAGGTCGAGCAAATCTATCATGATCAAAGTAAAAAGCAACCGAGCACCTCTAAAGGTAGCACACTAGGCAAGGACGAGAGGCAGGTTAACAATCTCATGAAGCTGCAACAGGATAATTGTAGTAGGGAAGCTGCTGCAGCGAAGAGAATGCAACAGCTTATCAGTCAGTTTGGCGATATAGTCCGCCAGGCAAGTTGCTTCTTACTTGTGTTGGCAGACAGCAATTGTATTGGAATCATGCATCCGTCCTATCATGGCTCGACTAATCTTGAAAATGCTTGGTTCTATTCAATGTTAGAACATTCGTGCGAATGTTACTTTGACCTAACTTGTCCTTTTTTATCTCCCATGCTGGCAATTGATATTCCCGATTTTCAATGAATACAGACCGTCTGATTGCTTCTTCACGCTTCTCTTGTTACCTCTTTGCACCCCTTGTTCTCAAACACAATTGATGGGATCCTTTTGCACCCCCTTGTTCTCCCTTTACCTTTTTGCCAAAGTCAGTCTCACCCCTCATGTGCTGCTCGCTGGGAACCAGTTGAGGATGCTTCCGTACAAAAAATATAGTTTGCTGAGATATACTTCATCACGTGGTAGAGTTAGATCTTACAGTTGTCCATCATTGATTGTCATAATGTACAACATTCAAAACATTCGATACCAGAGGAAGTATCATGTTTCTCAAATATGTCTCTGCCCTTTTTTGTTCAATTACTCTGAGCATTCTCTTGGTCCAGAAGTGGCGTAGTCACTCTCCCAATTTAGCGACAAGTATTAAGTTCGGTGGTTTTGCTCTATATTCCCAAATGGTATTTTGCAAAAAAATTTTTTGCCTCTTATTTTTAGTGGGAAAAGGTTTTTGCCAGGAACACCAAGGAAATTTTCTTATAAGGAATAGAAAGTCGGCAGCATCCTTCAGTGATATTGATAGGAGATGTGCATTTTACATTTTGCTTTCAGATCACCCAGCACAAATGGGCGCGGCCCTTCATGCAACCCGTAGATGCCAAAGCTCTTGGTTTGCACGACTATCATAAAGTATGACTCTTGTACTTTTTGATCTCTCATCTTTTTTAAGAGGATGCTCAAATATTATTTTAATCAGTGTTTAGAATGTTTTATATTGTTTGTTAATGTTTGTTGAGCCTTGCTAAATGTTTTTTACACCTATAGTTTTTTAGATTTCAGAATGATGCAACTTTCTCGAAGGTCAAACTTTTTTTTGTCAATGTCAACTACTCTTTATTTGAGCAAGCGGATTTCCAAACTAGCTAAAAGTGATGTACTGCACCGATTTGTCTGGCATTTTTTTTCCACGCAGAAAAAGATTGCTGTACTCACGTGGTTTTCCTCAGAAGAATGTGGGCAATTATCTATGTGAAGTAAGTTCTGTGGTTGGTTCAAGATTGATATCCTGGCCCAGAATGCACCAAAGTTGTTATAGATTGTTTATTGGAGATTAGTTGGTTATTCTATGTATAGAACACTTGGCTTTCAGAGACATTGTTTTAAAAGTTGCCTCTACATGGATGTGGATCCTGTAATCTGTACTTGGTAAGAGGAAAATCATATTAATGTAGAGTAACCTGTTGGCCTTATGTATATAATTGCATGTGAAAAAATAAACATTCTCTCTATTGAAAGAATATCTTTTGTGTTGAACCATCTTCTGTAACATCTACATCGCCTATTTTACTAACTTGACGGGGGTCATTTTCTATGATATAGGCCGTGTTTTTGTATACCTTTTCCCTCGCATATTTTTTTTCCTTTACTTGGAGGTTTGGCTCATATGGTGCTTATGTTAGACTACTAGTTTATTTTTGGTCCAACTATAGAGTAATAGTCTTGCGGGCAATTAAAAATGTGGTGTTCCTTTTTTCTTTTTCTTTTTCTTTTTCTTTTTCTTTTTCTTTTTTTTTTTTGGGGGGGGGGGGGGGGGGTGTTGGGGGAGGGGGCGAGAGATGTTGGGGGAGTTGGGAGCACAATATGGAGGGAAAGAATGGGAAGTGATTGGCCAATAACATTGTTTGGAGGGGAAAACATGAAGAGTGAAAAGTGAGGAACTTTGCTTCCTGGGCCACACAACTCATTTCGTTATCGCTAGAATCTATTTATGGCAGTGCACAGCCTGATTTGAATATATCGTTACTACATCTTTTGTGAATGTCTTCCACTGCTTTTTATATATTGGATTGCTAATATATTCTAGGTAATTGAAAAGCCAATGGACTTCAGTACGATTAAAAAGCAAATGGAGGCCGCTGATGGTACTGCTTATAAGAATGTCCGAGAGATATGTGCTGACGTGAGGCTGGTCTTCAAAAATGCTATGAAGTACAATGATGAAAAGAGTGATATTCATGTCATGGCCAAGACATTACTCCGAAAATTTGAGGAGAAGTGGCTCCACCTATATCCTGAAGTTACAAAGGAGGTAAGGTGGTCTCCAGGACCAATTGATTTGCTGTTTGGGGTTTCATTACCAGTTTGGCGGGCTGCTGAATGTGTTTGACTGTTAACTTGGTTTCTTCTAATTTGAGATGCTAATCTGTTTACTATTCTAATTTTGCTTTTCATTTTCGAAACTATGTGTGTGTAGGAAAAAAGACTAGAACAGGAAGAGGCGGAGGCGCAGTTAGATATGCAACTTGCTAAGGAAGCTGCTAATGCCAGAATGGCCAGAGAAATAAGTAGTGAGGTACTTCCCAATGAACATAAAAGCTACAGATTTTTATGTGTAAGGGGGAAATATTACATTAAGGACAGGCAACACTTTTCACTTGGAGTGTAGTCGGCCAATAAATGGGAAAGACATCATCTTCTGTAGCAGACCCATCTTCTAATTGCTGACTATATGCGATTATTTCTCAACTATAATTTGCGAAACTCTTTCAGCTTTACGAGGTTGATATGCATCTGGAAGATCTCAGGGCAATGGTTATCTCAAAGTGCAGGTCAGTATTGTGTTGTTTTCAAGTGAAGTCATGGTAGGAATTGAGAATAGAAAAATTGTCTGCAACGTCTCTCTTCTGTTTTCTGGCTCTGGTCTTGCAAATATCTCACTTTCATGTAGTCAATAATCAAGCCATAATCAAGCCGTATTTGTTTTTTTATTTTTGGTCAGAAGCTGTGTTTATAAAGTGTACTGAGGCTTTTTGTATATCTTTGTAGATAGCACACATATATGTAAGTAATGTATGTAAACTTGTTACTTGTTAGGGTCTCACGTTTGTACTTTTGAGGCTTTAAGCTTGTCCTTGCATAAAGGCGACGCCTCTTCAACTCATGGTCCTGCAGATTCATGTTGCTCGAGCTTTTTAGGCTTTAAGATTGTTGTTGGTGCCTTTTGGTCTCCTGTAGGACCTGCAAATGAGAGATCGCGGGTGCTTGTTGCAAGGCAGTTACTATAAAATACATTTAAATAGTGTATCTCCCTAAGAAGTGACTGAGTTTTCATACCGATTTTGATTTGCTGTTGTGGATGCATTTACTTGATAACTTTCAGCAGAAACGTCTAACAAAAGATACGCTCGATAATTCCATCGCAGGAGAATCTCAACAGATGAGAAAAGAAAAATAGCGGCGGCCCTTGACAAATTGCCAGTGGAGGATGTTGACAAGGCTTTGGAGATTGTTGCTCAGTATGATCCGAGCTTCCAATCAAAGGGTGATCTAGTGGACCTAGATCTAGATGCTCAGGTTAAAATCTCTCTCTCTCTCTCTCTCTCTCGCATGCACACTCGTGCGTGGTGGGGCACTCTACAAGTTTTCTCTTGCTGGAGTTAAGAGCAATATATTGACGGTGCTACTCACTGTCGATCTGATGCAGAGCGAACCCGTGTTATGGAAGTTGAAAATTTTTGTGAAGGGCGCCCTTGAAGTTCAAGGAAAGAGTTCAGCAGTCGTCGATGTCGACAGCAACCACGATCGCAGTTATAACAATAACGGCGGCAACAACAACAATAGCAACAAGAAGAGGAAGAAGGAAATATGTAATGCCATTGCTAAAACCGCGAAGAAAAGGAGTCTCAAGCCCTCGTCCTAAACATGTTATGTTAACGAATCAAATTAGACTTCTACTTTGTTAAGCACCTACCAGTATGTACTGACACTTTTTTTAGGCATATAAATGGTCATGAGTAGTTACTTTCCTATCTCAATTTAATTCAAATTTTTTTTCCTTTTTTATTCATTTTCGAATCTAGCTTGGAGAGAACCATTTATCTTTTCCATTGACAATAGCAAAGAACGAGAGCTATTCAGGTAGAAACTCAAATCAAGGCAGTAATTCGTTTGTTCCATTCAATCTTTCGACATAAAGACAGGAAAAGATAAAGGAAAGGAAAGGAAAATGTACAATCAAGATCGAACTTCTAATGCTCTATTCCTCGAATCGTTTCCTCTAAATTCTTTTCCAATGAAGGAATATAAATTTGAATGCGAAATAATTGTAATTGAATTTGAACTTCCATCGAAATCACTTAAAATTTAGACAAAAGAATTTCCTAACAACTCAAATTAACGACATTATCATCTTCAACAAATTAGTGAATTCACTACGCAATATTGGAAAATGTTTTTTTTAAGTTCGAAACACATTTCGTTCATAATTGAAGACATCCTTTTATTTTTATCAAATCACATGATAACCGCAATATGTGAATGATAGAGATGATGAGATTAATTTCTGGAGAGAGTAAGTAATGTTAATGATAGATATTGAAGCAAATTTTGGTATTGAAAAGTAATTTGGCCAATAAACCTAAAAACGACATGTTTTAACAGTGTGAAAATATGGTCACCCTACTCTCACAGGGCTGAGATTTCGTGTGCGAATGCAATTGGGACCCACTTTCGTCTATCAGGACGTTCTTCTATTTATAATACCTTATTTTCTTTTGATAAAGGAAAAAATAGAACCTAAAAAGATGAAAAATGAAAAAAAAAAAAAGAGTTATCCCCTCTTGTTGGGATATAGTCCGTACTCCCGTCGACAGGAAAGTACGAGATCCCGCTCTCCGACGAGTGGGTGGAGGTTGGGATTGCCCAGACAAGGTCATAGGGAGCTGCACCCCTGCGACGCCAAAGAGATCTCTTTTTTATTACTAATTTGGATTTGGGCTCGTGAGTAACTACTGAATATCTCTTTTTTTGTAATTGAAGAATGTAACAGAGATGGGATGTGTTCAATATAGTGAAATTCTCCGCCGGATATAGTGAATTTACCTTATGTCTTGATTTTTCTTTTTCGCTTTTAGTCTCTACTTCATCTTTGTGAGCCTAATCCAAATTTAATCCTAATACACCCCCCCGGGTCATTTATCATTATTACATCACCTTTAAGATCGGGCTTAACTCAGTGACGCCACTCTCTCTCTCTCCGTCTCCTTGCATACGGAACACCCCCACCGCACAAAGGCGCAAAGCAAAAAGGCGCCTGGGATTCGGCCCTGCCGTCGTCGTCGCATCCTCATCTCGCCGCGAATTCCAATTTCTTCTTCACCCTCCCTCCCTCGCATTCTTGTCGCCCGAATCCTCACGGTAACGTCTCTCCTGTAGTTCCTCCTCCTCCTCCTCCTCGGTGCGTTCCGGTCTTCTTCGTAGCCTGCTCGAGCGGCCTTCGTGTTCGCCGTAGCGAAACGGATCAGCGATGCGTAGGCGTTTTTGATTTTCCTTAAACCTCGGGATCCGATCCTACGCCGCTAGATCGAGCGAGCTCCGGTTCCTGCCCCCGTCTTGACCTCGTGCTCGGTGCTTGCGAGTTTTGTGGATGAACGGGGGCGTGCCGTACAACGTACATGTTCTTCGGTTTGTCGAGTTGCAGATTTTCGCAACGATGAGCCATTTCGTGTCTCGAAAAGGCTTTTGATGTGGCTCAAATGGTTTTACTAGGGCTCTTTCTTGGTTGAGTCCGAGAAAGTTTCGTCATTTCTCTAGGTTTTGAAAGTCGATGCCATTTTCGAAACGCAGACCGAGCATTCTGGCCTTCTTTTTTTTAATTCTTTGAGAAGTGAACCTGTGGATGATTCTAGTCTACCCGCATCTGTATGCCTGTGGCTTCTTTAGCTGAGATAAGCTTTCGTTTTGTTCCAGCGCATAATATGGAGAACCCAGCTGTAAATCAGCTTCCCGAAGTGGATGCTTTGCCGGATGGTTTCGTCGATGGCACCGCCGAGCCTCTTTGCCCTCCGACTCCTAATAACGAGGAACAGAAGCCGCCGAGCGATTTTAGGATCGATAGCGGGAGTCGTTTGGATGGGTTAGAGCACGAATTGGTGGATTTGGATGATAAAGGACACATTGGACAGGATTTTGGCTCACCCTTGACGCCAGGGTTGGCTCATTCCACTCCCGAGGATTCTTCAGAGGTTCCTGGATCCTGCGAGGTAAAAGAACAAGCTCAGGAGAAATTTCAAAGTTCAGACAAATGTAAATATCTTTACCTGAAGTCAAGATTACTGTCCTTTGCATTTTTCTCTTTGCTTTTGTCCACCTGTTGTTTAGGTCCTCTACTCTTTATAGATTTTGATGCTTAGCACTTTGCTTTAGCAGTATTTGGCAGCTTGATTATATGGAAACATTTTGTTTTATCTTTTTGATTCCACTCACGGGGCTTCTTTCGTTGCAGCTGCTGACGATAAGTTGGTCATGCAGCCAACTCATGCTAAGGAAAAATCTTCGCCGGATGGAGACGATTCTTTGAAAAACAGAAAGCAAGTAAGTAGTGCGGCCGATGTGGTACATCCGTGAAATTTTGGTGTTTTGTCTTTTCACACTTGTATTAAAAATTGTCAATCTGGAACTTATTACGTGTTCTTAGAATAGCCCATCATCTTGCTTTGCCATGCTTTCTCTAAGTTGGGCATATTCGTTTGGTATGTCACAGAGCGTTTGGCTTTAATTCATAAAGCAGTCATGTGCTGATGCTTGGCCAAGCAAGATGATGGGCTATTCTGAAAACATGTAATAAGTCCTAATTCCTAATCTTGTCTGATCCGTGAGATAATCTAGGTTAATAAGTTGGGCCATTCTAATTTCTCAGGAAACATCTGAGGCAAAAAAGAATGCCAAGCGTGCTTTCAAGTCAGAAAAGGAGTTTTTACAGTTCACTCTGAAATATCAACAAGTTCTTGCTGAACGAGATGCGGGTAGGTTCACACTTCTCCTGCACTTTTTATCTGACTGTCATTTGTTGGTTGAATTAGCTCTTTATTTGACATCAATGAAAATAACATTATTTACATATGTGATCATTTTGTGGCAAATGTAAAATGCTTTTGGATGTTAGAATTTGCTTTCATTGAGAGTTCAGTGTTGAATAATGTTGTGAGTTCGCGGAGCATGATGACTGTGGAAGCTCACAAGGTTTTCTTGCCATGATTTGAGGCGCGTGATAATTATGGCAAAGTTTAATTTAGTCCTTTCGTGAAGACATTGTTTTAGCAATATGAATTGTCGGAGAGTCGAGATTTCCTCATTGTACAAAATAGTAGTTCATCTCCTAAAATAGAGCACTATGGTTCATACACATAGACTAGGTCATGTTACTATTACTCAAGAATAGTGATTGTTGTGATATGGAGTTCTCTCTTTTAGAATTTTCTCTTATTGATGGATGAGGATGATCAGGGTTCACAGGACTTCTCTTTTCTAGGTTCAACTGTTAGCTAAGTGAAGGCTTGTTAAATCAACACCGGGTTCGATGATGAACTTCCGATCCCAAGTCAGGATAAAACACATTAAATAAAGTGAAACCTTGTATCTTTTTTTTTTCCTTTTTTTTTAAAAGAAAGTACCGTGATAATGGAATACTTGCTCCTCTAAATTGGGTGTTGCTAGCTCTATGTTAATAATTGTAAAACACAACATGACATGATGAACTTTGTTCTTTGTTTCCTTATAAACTCACAAGTACAACAGTTGTAATCATGTGAACTTTACTTGAGAATCCGGATGAATTACGTGGAGGCTGTTTCTAAGCTTCTCCACAGCATCTTCAACTGTGAATAGGGGTTTGCAGCTTATATAAGGTGTTTCTCAAACACCTCTCGGTTGCAGTTACTTTAAAGCTACTGCAGCTTTTAGAAAGCTACCTCACCCAACTTTGATTTAAACTATATTTAACTAAACATTAAAGTTATAGAAACTTTACAGCACAACGTAGCTGTAGTTCTGCTACAGCTATACCAAATGGGCTCATGGTGCATAAGCCGTCGTTTTTGTAACAGTCTTTGTTTTTTTTTTTTCGGGATATTTTAAGCCTAGATATAGAATCATTGGCTTTGACTTCTAATACATATTTACCTCTGCCTATCTTTTCTTCCAATAAGGAAACTAGAAGTCTCTTCTCTTGTATAATTTAGATACACTAAATTTAGGTCTATCATGTGCAAACTAAAATAGCACAATATTAGTGGGAGCCTATATGCGTTGTCGGAATCATAGTTGTTGCACGAAATGATATTGTCTGGTGAATCTCTCTCTTCTACATTTACATTTTGTAATGCCATTTTTATTCTCTCGCCCCCCCCCTCCTTTTCCTTTGAATGTTGACGTTTTTGCACGAATCATATGTGGGAGCACACACTAATTTATTATCTTTATATGTTCAGCATCTATGGTCCTAAGATATAGTAACTAGTTTTCACATCTACAACTGTCACAGCTCTTGCAGTTCGAGATAAGCTTGAGTCACTGTGTCGGGAGTTGCAACGTCAAAACAAAATGCTAATGGTACTTTTCCTTCACAATCTGCTCCTAATGTTCTCTCTCTCTCTCTCTCTGATTTTCTTTGTAATTGTTGACTGCCCTAAGACTATCCAGCTACATTAGGTTGACTTTGCTCGTCAACTCTTGATCATCATCAATAAGACATATTTAATGGATTGTTCTTTTGAAAATCTCGAGAGTTCTTTGAAGGAATTTACCGTACACCCCTAAGTTACTTTACTCTTCTAAAATGTATCAGCAAAGAATCTTCCTCTTCTTTAAATAAGTTTTAAGTGGTCGTAGAAAGTAAGATTTAGAAAATGAAAAGGTTACAAATGGTGCCCTTATTAAATTTTCTTTTTGTGGTTTCTGTCTTCAGCAGATGTTTCTTTTTTGTACAGGGAATTGTTTGTTATGAAGAGACATGTCCATTATAGTACTAG